CTTCTATATAAATTGTTTTGGTTGGCCATCGCCTCTAATTATCAACATATCATTTGTGTGTATCTATATATATATATATATATATTAATGATAATGTTAATGTGATAGGAATTTGTTATAAATATAGAAAATAAAATTTACTCGCATGGGCAAATACCGAGTATGCTGACATCATTCACAAATTCGTCGCCTTTCCACCGTGTTCACCGAGGAAAATAGGCGATTACCTCCACCAACTCAAATCATGGCATTCGAACCACGCCCGACTTCCTTTCCATTTTTCCTTCCATCGACTTCCTCTCTTTTATCGCCGCCACCACCACCATCGCAGTCATCATTCATGTCTTTCCCTCCCCCCATCTCCCAAATGATGAATTCTTCCCTCCCAAGAAACGCAAACCCAATCATGGCACCTCTCCTCCCACTTCTCGGTCTCTTTATCCCCTCCTTCCTTCTCTTCCCCACACTCTCACCGCCCACCCGCAATCCTAACCCTAATGGCATTTCCCTCCCTCATCCTTCTTTTCTCGTCACTCATCCCCTTCACTTCCCCCGAACCCCTCCCGGGTTTCCTCAGTCTCTCCTGCGGCGCTTCCACGCCCTTCACCGACTCGTTCAACATCTCATGGGTACCCGATTCCCCCTACATCAACCTCGGTCGTTCTGTCCCATCCCTACCCCTCCGCTTCTTTGCAGAATCCCACCCCGCCCGCAATTGCTACCGCCTTGCTGTTGGTAACTTCTCCCTCGTTCTCATTAGGGCGTCGTTCGCTTACAACAACTACGACGGTAAGGGGCTCCCACCTTCCTTCGCCGTTTCACTCGGCACCACCATGTCTGCAGTCGTTAACCTCTCGCGCGCCGATCCGTGGGCGGAGGAGTTTGTCTGGAAGGTCGTTGGTGAGACGCTTCTCTTTTGCTTGATCTCAATGCCTGGCGCGGGCTTCCCCGTTATTTCCTCCCTCGAGGTGAGGCTGCTTCCGGCTGGAGCTTACGGGGCCAGCTCCAAGGAACTTAGGGATACTGTACTGAGGAAGAGATACAGAATTAATTGCGGTTATCAACATAAATCCCCTCTTAGGTAATGGATTTTATGTGTATCCAACTTCTTATACATTGCTTTTTAGTCTTTGATGTGTGATGATTTTTGAGTTTTGCAAGCAGATATCCTTTTGATTACTATGATCGGATCTGGGACGAGGACCAGAAATTCCACCCTTCCCGTTTATCCGGTGCGTTCTATATGCCTCTGCCTCTCAAAATTTCAGGGCTAAAAGAGAATCCTCCACTTGTGGTTCTTCAGACCGCTAGGGTTCTGGCTAGAAGGAATGTTCTGAACTATAGATTTCCCCTTGAGAAACTTGGGAACTACTATCTGGTTATCTACTTTGCTGGTGTAATGCCGGTTTCTTCCTCCTTTGATGTTCTCGTTAATGGTGATGTTGTGAGTTCGGATTATCACGTGAGGCATGCGGAGGTAAGTTCTGTTGTTTACTTGGCAAAAAACATAGAAAGGCTCAAGCTTTCGTTCAGGAACGTCAGTTTTTATCCACAAGTGAATGGGATTGAAATATATGAAGTACTGAACATCCCTCCTGAATGCCCGGCAACTACAGGCAATTATTTCTTATGTTATTTGTGGCTGGTTAACTTCTAGTGGATGCATCCTGATTCATTTTTTCTTTTTCCTTGGGGCAGTTTCTGCTCTTCAGGTTATACAGCAGTCAACAGGATTTGATCTAGGATGGGAAGATGATCCGTGCTCCCCAACTGCTTGGAGTCATATTGGTTGCAATGGAAGTCTGGTGACTTCACTGTAAGTAAATGTTTTATTGGGATATGGGCTTTAGAATGTCCTTTTTTTTAAGAAATTATTCCCTTACTTGGTAGCTCTACGTGTGGATTCCGGTAATATGCCGCCACGTGGAGGTTATTGTGAGGTTAAGGTTATTGACGTGAAACCGGACGTGAAACCACATAATTTATTGAGAAACTTTTGGGAGGTTATTGCAGGGGTTAATGCATGGGGTTATTAAAATGAAACTGCGGAAGTTATTGAGAGGTTATTGTAGTGAAATCACAGAGGTTATTAAGAAATTATTGGAGGGTTATTAAGGGGTTATTGAAACGTTATTGGAGTTAATGCCCCAATAACCCCTTAATAACCCTTAACAACCCACTCAATAGTATCCGCGGTTCCACTCCAATAACCTCCGCGATTCTGCTTTAATTTTTTTTAGGCGAGCCCAATATAACACAGATGACATCATATTATTGAAGTACGCACGTAGAGCTGCGCAAGTATTCCGTATGGAATGATTTCTCTCTTTTTTTGGGGGGGGACATTTGAGCAAATTTAATTACAAATATGGAAGATATTAAACCCATGACATCTTAGAGAGCTTAATAGATTCAGGAGACTGGCATGCTTAGGCCCATCGGACTAAAAGTATGATTAGAACATATAAAATTCCATGACATTCAAATATTTTTCTACAAAGATATTGATAAACTTCGCTAGATAATAACTCATATGAAAGAAAAAAATGTTATTAAATTAATTAAATAGCTTATTACTTTAATTAGCATTCCAAAATACTTGCATAGTTTAAAATTTTTCTACATCAGGATGCACAAAAAATTTTTTGTGCATCAGAAATCACAAAAATTAATGGGGTTGAATTTGTAAGAAGCAAACTTAGCGAGTGAAACTTATTGACTTAGATATAAATGATAAAGAACAAGAACATAATATTATTTCATGCAATCATAGCTAGGGCTGTCAAAAATGCTAGTCATTTGCGAACAACGTGTGTTATGCTTGCTAACTAGCTCGTGTTCGATTTGTTAATTAAGCAAATGAGTTGAACACGAATAAATGTTTTAAGCTTGATTTATGACGAGCCGAACATGATCAAGCTTTTATTCGATCGTGATCGACTCTTTTTGGCTCGAATTATTTAAATAATAAATGAACAGTATGTAAAAATTAAAATAATAATATATTTTATATGATATACCAAATTCAATTTTTAAATATAAAAAAGCAAATTTAGATGCTAGATATTGTCATGACTTGACTCGTGAGTTGCAATTAACAAGAGCGGGAACAAACAGTCGGATGGTGGAGCTAAATCTTTTATGTTTCCAATTTTATCACTAACAATTTAATATAAAAAAAATTAAGTGAAAGAGTGACTAAAGAAATTATTTTAATTAACAAATAGTTACCATTTTTGTTGCCGTTCTTGTCTTATATACACCTTAGCTACTCTAATATTTATCTTATTTAAAAGTTTAAACCTGAAAAAATATTAAAACAATATAATGACTTATCTAAAGATAATCTAAGAGTAATCACACTTTTAAAATACATTAGTTCAATGAAAAGAAAACAATATGCATGCTAACATTTAATATTACTATAAAAATATATTAAAATAATCTAATGCATAGGTCCATCATATTTACTTAATTGAATAAATTTATGCTTCAATATGCATTAAATTTAAGTTTACTCTTATTTCATACATTGAATTTTCACATCCATTATAGGAGCATCATCAAAACATAATCTAAAATATCCTGATCGATATTATCCCGTATGCACAATAATTCGTGATCTAAATTATACGATTGTTTGAGGTGGAAAGTGTCACGCCCCGACCTGGTGGCTTGAAATTACCAAAGCGGAAACTGTCGGTCGGACAGAGAAAACTTATCTGATAATTTCATTTCATATTTAAATAAAATTACCAAAGCACAAAAGAACCATTATATTTATAAAATTTAAAGTTACAACGAGTTTCCATATATATATATATATA